TTGAGGAAACATTGATACCGGGTGATGATTACCAGCAGCCTAATGAGAAGGGCAAAAGAGCACTTCGTGACAGGTGACTCACTCGTGGTGGTGTTGACAGCTCCACAGATCCGTGTGCTTGTGCTATCAGTGAGTCCAGTGGACAGACGGCTCTATTTCCCAGCAGCTTTCACACGGAGACTTGCGGGAGGCGCCTTGATTGGTCTCACCACTTCCTATTGTTCCCCCTGTCACTGATAACCCCGATGACCCGAGCTGAAGGAAGGAAGGCCACCGCTTGGCTTGTGGCTCTTCTGTCCTCCAGTAACTTATTAACCAGCAGAGTCCTCCAAGATTCCTCTCCTTATGGTTAACTAAGAGCAAACAGCTCAACAGAGAGGAAGAGGAAGGCAGATTGAATGTAAACTTACAGAAATAAGATAAAGCTTCAACTTAGCTTGTATTATCAAAACAAAATGAACTTAACAGTTTAATTTTCATGAACTCAGGTGATGGTCAGACCTCACATCTCGCAGGCACTCAGTCAGTGTCATGTGTCTGCTGCTATAGATGTGCCTTGACGAACAGAGCGTCGGAGTCTGGCTGGCATTACAATCATTTCTGTTGTTTTGCTTTAGAGCAAAAAAAAAAAACCAACAAATCTGTCTGACTGAAGTTTCAGTTTTCCGTTTGCAGATTTCAAAGTGTCCAAAGTCTGGCTGCTGCGTGATGATGCGGTCGTGCGCCGAATGGAAAACAGGAAGGAGCGAAGCCCATCAGTTCTCCACAGTGATTATAAATAAATCAGAGAATGATACTGCGTAGAAATTAAATGATAACCTCCAAGTGTCAAATGTGTCAGGAGGAGTGCAGAAATGAAAGCGTATGCTACTTCAAATATGTCTTTTAATGTATACAAATATTTCACAGTTAAATATTAACGCAGCTGGGAAATAAAAAGTGGTGTCTGTCTGTGAATAGAAAATTTATGGACAAACATTAAATATTTTTACATTTACTTTGACTTTAATTCTCACCTGTAGCCTCTAGGAAGTAACTGCTTCATTTAAAAAAATTTAAAGTAAAGTAGTAAAAAACTATTTGTTTTACTAAGATGGTTACACTTACGCTATCATTTAAAACTTAAGATTTGCTAAGTGATTCACAAATACAGCACCTTGCAAAAGTATTCATACATTTTTTAAAAACTTTTTTATGTTTATCACATTATAACCACAAACTTTGATGCATTTTATTGAGGTAAGTGGCACATAAGTTTACACTGATACAGACATAATTAACAAATTGGAATATAATTAGAAAACTTAGTGAAACCTTTTTTATAGATTAATCACGCAGACTGATGTTTTCAAGCTTTTATTTCTAATAATGACCATTTTTCTGCTCACAACTAATGAAAACAAAGTAAATAGAAATGTTCTATTACATTAGATTTAATGCAGAAATGTCAACTTAATGAAAAGTATGTTTAAAGCACTTTATTCACATAGTTTTCCCCAGAAGAAAATATCTAATTTTGATCAATTAAATGACAAAACATGAACAAGGTGGTAGTGTAAGACCCTACAAATTAACAAAGTAACTTATGAAACAGTGTGAGCGGTACGTCTCTTTTCATCCAGATGAAAGCAGATGAAGTTTAGCTGATGAGGAGAAAACAGTGGATGCTTTTCCATCGGTTGTGAGATAAAAGATTCTTCTGCTTGTCTGAGGTCTACAGAAATGACTAAGCCCGATTTCTGATAGGTGCATGGCCCGCTGACGAGGTTCGGTGCCCTTTTTGCTTGTAACATGGGTACCCACAGCCAGTTTGTCATGTTTCTAGAAGTGACTAAACTTCCTTACATTAAACTTCCACAACAATGTGTTGAGAACATGTGACAACCGTTGTGTTTGACAAACTCCTGCTTCTCAAGCTCCTCCAAGTAAATTCCCCTGGTGATTGTCGAGCCGCACACGTTCATGCAACTTTCCATTGCATAAATACAGCTTTAGGTTTCTGTGTTTACAGCAATAACACAAAGAGTTACAGTTATGCAAATTGTGCAACTAATAAGCCTCGATTTTGTTTCCAGTTTGGTATGAAGCACGTCGTTTTATGCTTCTACTACTTGCTAGAAACCTAGAATTATAGTCGGTAGAAAGTCCATCTTTGATGGCACATTACTGTTAGTTGATGAATATGATGCTGGGACAAATACAGCAAAATCAAAGTTTGAATAATCATATTAAGGACTTTTTTGTAGCTCAGAGGCACCTTTTAACCTGTAGTAAGACTCTCTGTTAGTGGTTGAGTGTTTCCATCTTGTGCTGAGTTTTATGTACTGCAGCACTGATAAAAAAGAAATTCTCAACAAACACTTGCCATCCTGTATGTTAGAGTAAAATAAAATAATTAAAATCAACAAAATACCTAGCAAAGAAATGTCGTTACAGCAAAACCAAGAGGCTTTTAATACAATCTGGTATGTTTTACCATCACTGAATTCACTGCAAAAACACAAAATCTTACCAAATAAGTCTGTCCAGTTTCTAGTATTATTGACTTTTCTTGCAGAAAATTTCCATGTCTGTATGATCTAACTTTTGAGAAAAGAAAAGGTTATTCCTTTTAGGATAGATGCAAATAAGTGTGGTTAATGTAATTATTCTCCTTTGATAAATCAGGATTTCAAGGTTTTTTCTATACTCTCTGCCAAACTGTCATCTTCATCTGCATTTCTGTTGTGTTTTTTATCTTTACCACCAAAGATTCAAAGGCCAAACCTTTGAAATTTGATTATTTTCTCTGATAAAGACTTTGCTGGCCAGTGTCATGTAGCAGATGCCACCAACAGAGGATGCTTGGTAACAGGACCCCTCTTACAAACTCCTTTCTGTTTAAACACGGCGTCGGCGAGCCGCTGCTGAATCCCCCTATTTACTGGTTCATGTTTGCTGCTGAATTACGGCTCTTGACACGGTAAACAATCAGACTGAAATTCTGTCACATTAGCAGCATTGTAAAAAAAGCCAAAACAGATCCTAATCTTTACTCGCTCATAAGAGTCTTATCCTGTTGATGGGAACAGAATCCCACCCATGTCAAGGCAGCCCACCGCCCCAGGTGCAGCAGCCACACACACACAGGCTCTGGCTTGTCCCTTTTTATCAGTGGTGATAAATGAAAATACCCTCCTGGGCAGGCAGCCCAGCAGTGGCTCTACTAATTAGAGGGCCTGTTTCCTTGTAAATAACTAAAGTGGATCAAATCAGCCAGAATGGGTGGTAGTTTCAGCCTGTAAGGCGAGAAAAAAAAACATGAAATAATTTCAACGCTTAAACATGAAGCCTGACCAGCAGCAGAGATACAGTGAATTAACTGTCATGTGTTAATTTTTAAATAATCCATTCGCCTCCGTCAAAACGTTTAACAATAGTGAAAGAGAAGAATACATCTGCTAACAGCAGCTTAGCAGCTCACAATAAGATCAGAACTGATTTAGTGCCGTCTTTTGTGTCTCTCTGATGGCTGTAAACAAAGAAAAATAACCCTGACATTTCAGCCTCAACTCACCCGGTTATTTATGAGCTCAAATCTAACGATTCATACATCTCATAAATGTGACTCATGTTCTCACATAATGAGCTCAAGATTCTCTCAACTGAGGCCATAACGGTTTTAAAAACAGTGTTTCTTCATCTTTATTTTAGTTGTTTCCTCTATTATCCTTTTGTTTTTTTTTGATGTGTCATCAGGAATTTTCTCAATTAGTATATCAGACTGAGAGTCTTCCTCATTTCCCACAGTGATGGTTTTATCAATTAAAGGGAAAAGCTGGCCGACCTGGCCTTATGTGCAAAAGTAAAAGCCCTTTGCAACATTAGCTGTCAAATGTTTGTGGCAACTGGCAGCAAATGTTGAACCGCCTATCTTGGGAGAATTGATTTATTCTCCATCTGCTCTAAAAATGTCTTAAATTGAGTCATAATGTGCTGGTTTTCAAAAAGTTTTTAAAATTAACAGAATTTAATTAACAGAAACACAGCCAAGTGTTTGGCTGTGTTTCTGTTTTTTTAACTGCCTTCTTCCTGTTAGGCAACAATGCTGTCAACCGTTCGACCACACAGTTAAAAAAACAAAACATGTAAAATAATGTTTTCTTTAATATGAAGTCTGTGTTATTAAAAAACTGCCTTAAAGTTACAAATATTAAGAAAGCCGTTAAAATTAAATACAAAAATGCATTTGAGCCAAACAAATATAAACTTTCTTCAAATCTGATGTAGAAATAAATCAACAAAATCAACATTATGCGATTAAAGAAAAAAACACAGAAATGTTGGAAAAAGGCCAGACTGAAGCAAATGTATTTGAATATAAACACCAACGCATGACTACATTACACCTAACCATGTGATGAAATATAACATTGCCCTTTAAGCAATGGATTTGACCTCACACCATATATCATAAGTAAAGCCTTAATTTCACAATTTAATGAGAAGAATAAACAATGTAAACCTAATTGTTCGACGTTCTGCCTGTCCTATAACAAATCCGCCATTCCTACTCTCTTATTCCCAGGTTGTATCTGGAAACATTAGAAGGGAAAGGCTTGAATTTACTCTGCAACCATCACGTCACTTTGCTACCAGCTGGCTGACGCACACTTTCACGTGATCCTGCTGTTCTACAGTTACTGACAGGCTACTGCTCCCTCTGCTGGATTTGAACTCTTTTGATGAGAAATCACAGCATGCAAGTGATGAAATGTAATTTTTTTTTTTAGTCTCCCAAAATGAATTAGTGTAGGATTTTAGAGGTCAGCAACAAGTCAGCACACTGAAATCACATTCAAAACCACAGCATTACCAGTGACTCTGTGTGCTGGTGGAAAATCTATTTCAAGTTGTGAAACATTATACCTCTGTCAGGCACGGCTGCCTGTAAGAACACTGCGTGTATTACGTGATCTAAAGCACCGCTCTATATTTAACAAATCATGGGGCTTGCTGCACTGCTTGCTGCTGCTGGGGAGACGCCCTCCAGAAAGAAAATGCCATGGCTCTGCAGGCTCTACCTCCACCTCTGAACTGTGTGGACCGAGGTCACAGCTGAAGCAGGACAGGTAGGAACCTGTGGAAGTGTGAATATTTATATATATGTGTTCAATAACCAAAATGAAACTATAAAAGGACGTCCTGTTTTTATAACACTTTCATTGATATAAATCTCACTGAAAGAGGATACATTTCTGAGTATGTTATTTGCACGATTAGCAAATGCTTCACAATTCTACTCAGATAAAATAATATGATTGTTTTTTTTTGCTTTTCTTTTTTTTTTTGCTGGCTGTCTTAGTGTACCAGTTCAGTTAACCTTGTCACATTCAAGTTTAATATTTACGTTAATAGAGAAAGTAATTACTTCTACATGGTAATAATAATGATAATAAAACAACTACATCCTGTGTATATTTCTAAATGTCATCAATTACAACTGAAAGCATATTTATCAGCACATTTTGTGAATATGTGTAATAGAAATGTTTTATGATTTCTTCTGTTACTGCTGCAGGATAGCCATACGCTAAAATATTTAGGGGAACGAAAATCAATCTTGGTTTGGTAGGTTTATTCATTTTACATTTAAAAAGATAATTTATTTAAAAATAATCGGCCCATATGTCTGAGACAAGTTCAAATCAGCAATCACTGCTTAGAAGATTATTTCTTAAATGTTTTCCACTCATAAAAAGATCTTCAAACTGTAGAAAGACGGACTTCCAATGGCTCCTATGTTTGACTTGCCCTCCTTGTGTCTGTAGTAAGTATAGCACACTTAGCGTTTGTAAAGAAATTATCTGCATCAAGAGTGACAGTTTTAACAAATACATAAAAAACTTATTTTTAAATAAAAGTCACCTACTTCAGCTTTAAAGAATAAGTATCCATTGTACAAATAGCAATGTGAAAATCATCTTAAAGTAACAAATGTGCTTTTACATCACAGGTTCTGTTGAGCCCAGATGGATGACTTTGAATACAGCTTGGAGATCAGCGACCGAGACTGGGAGTGCTTCTTTGTGGAGTGTGAGGAGTGCAACCTACTTCCTCCTTCAATAGCACGTGTGGATGACTCGGGGATGAGTGATTTTGATGACACTCTTCTCACCCAGAGAGCTCGAAGAGTTTGCCCAACGCTGGGCTCCCCAGTAAACAACCCCCTCGTCGACGGCCCCCTAAAGCGCAGTGACTCTCCTCCTGCGGCGCAGTGCTTTGAGACAAAAGAGAGCGGCGGATTTGACAGTGTCCTCTCTGGCAGTGAGGAGGACATACACCTGCAGTCTGTCAACATATTTTTTGAGCGGCTTAAAGGTCCAAATGAGACCGAGCCAGACAAAGAGAGAGCTGGAAACAACAGAGAGGCAAAACAAGGGGAGCACCAAGTGAGTGCAAGCACTCTGCCAAAAAGCAGCACTAAGTGTAGCACGCTGCCTGATGGAGTGGAAAAAGCATTTGGCAAAGAGAGCCAGAGTCCTGTCGACCCCATCTGGAACATCAACACAATGAAAACGGATACAGCCGGGTCCAACTTCTTCTCAGAACCTGAAACCTGCAGCACCTCTCCCCTGAGCTTTTGCAAATCACCTGAAACAGATTTATACATAACAGAGGGCGACTTCACTGACAGTGTGGTCGATGAGTTTGCGGGGAGCAACCCGCTCCATGACTCAACAGAGAGTGTCGTTGGCTCAGACTCAAGAGCTCAGCCCTGCAGATTGGAAATGTGGAGGAGCATGGACGACGTCAAGCAAGATACGCCGACAAGTCCGGAAAGTTTCTGCACAAAGTGGAGCTACAGAGAAGACAAGATGTCGTCTCCTGAGGGGACTCAGTTAGTCTCCCTGAGGAGGAAGCGGAGACGGAAGAGACGACTCAGTCTGGAAGCAGGTGAAGGTGGACATCCGTGTGGGAGGCACTCAAAGGAGGACCATTTGATGGCAAAAGAAGGAAAACGTCTGTTTTTGTCGACGGAGACACTCGATTTAAAAGAACATAAAAATCTCACGTATGTTCTCACTCCGAATCCCGCCACCATCAGGTTCCCAGAGAATTTCTCTGCTCAGGAGATAAAAATTGAGCTCTCACTCTCTGTTTCCCCAAGTGACAATCAGTGCCAACCACTCCATCAGGAAGCATGCACAGGCAGCAATTATTTAACCAACCACACACCCAAACCCCCTTTGAGTCAAAGTGATGACACTACTAATAATGCAGCAAATTCAAAACCAAACGGTGAGTTTCAGGTTACAGAATCCCCCGGTTTGATTGGAAATCATCCCGACTCGCCAGTTTCAGCCTCTAAAGTGGAAACAGAAAAGTCAAAGGGTCAGAAGCAGGAAGCGAAATCTGCCGATCTTCCGCCGTCTGATGAAAGAAATGTGTCAGCCAGTGACTGTAAAAATGAACAACATGCAAAACATCCACCAGCGGAGGTCAAATCAGTCACCCGTTTACCGTGTGCAGAGTCATGTGCTCCTGCCATGGAAGTTGTCCAAAAAGGCAAACTATCCACTGCTAAGTCAGACCTGGCAGCTGAGGCTGGAAATTCTGGCCTGGAGAAACGCACAGTGTGTCAAAGTGACTTTGAGCTGGAAAGTGATGGTCAGATCACAAATCAAAGTGGCACTACACTGGAAGAGACTCCCTTTTCTGTGCACACAACTGGAGGGATCACTTCTGAGCCCGGGGCATTCCAAGATGAGACTTTGGATGAAGTAATCCGTACTTATCTAACATCAGAGCACATTAATAAGTCAGCTAACAAAAGCTACTTGTCTGGAAGTGTTTCTGGTCTAGACATAGAACAACAAACAGATTCTATAGAGCTTCTAACAACAAATATTGTCTCAGAGAAACACGAAAATGTACAAATATCACCAATTTCAAACTCAAGGAGTGACATTCAGATAGAAACCGAAGCTTCCCAAAATGAAAACTTACAAACAACTCCTCCACACCTGTCATGTCGCCCCACTCTGGACTCTGGAGTAGGCCTTTCACTTTCCAGTGAAAACAAGTTTCCAGTTTTTTGTTCAGCTGTTAATGAGCATGAATCTGTTCAAGAAGAAAAAGAGCAGCAAAACCTCTTGGCTGATCAGGAAACAAACCGTACATTTGCGTGTAAAGAGAATGAAGTCGTCACTGCATCTAAAGATGTGGATAAACCAGGCAGGATGTTGAATTCTGTGTTTGCAATGTCGTCATTCTGGAGGGAGATGGAGAAGCTGACGATAAACGACATATTGGGCTTACGAAATGCAGATGAACCTGTTCTTCACGGTTTACTTCCAGCTGTAACAGAAAGCGAGGAAACAGCGGTTGATTCAGGCATTTTTATTGAAGAGGATGAGCCCAATCCGGAAGAAGCCACTGAAGAAGTCCATGAGGTTGTTTCCTCATCTTCACGATCTGTTACCTGGCAGAGTGATCCTGTGCTGGTCAGTCAAAATCCAGAATCAGGTCCAGAGAGCATGATGTTGGAATGTGAGACTGATTCCCAACCTGTGCTCACTGAGAGGCCTCAGAAATGCCTTAAAAAGATATCAAAAACAGTCAGTGTGCACAATTTGCCAGCCTTGGAATCGGATTTGTACAGCTACACATGCAAAGGTGATGGATTACGAGTCTTAGAAGAACAAGAAACAGAAAACCTGACCTTTGCAGACAATGGCACATCGAAAAAAGACACAACTTTCCCTTCGTCCTCTACAAACACCTACAGGATCTCGTTCACAGACATATTTCAGTACTTCTTTGGAGGAAAACAGTCCATTTCCAGCCAGCCAGCAAGAGAAGATACAACCACGCTCTACACCAGTGGAAACTCGATCCCTGAAACTTACGATCATTTCTTTTCAGAGTTTGACAGTGAGAGCTTCTTCTACCCTCTCTTAACAGCAGAAGAGAAGAACAAAGGCAAGCCAGTTCCTATATTCTCGTACTCTCGCTCAACTTGCAGAAACTTCCAGTTCCCAGAGGCCTACGAACACTTCTTTGCATCCTCCTCATCTGACGATTCATCCGGGGAATCTGACGAAGAGGAAAACTACCGACCAGTGAAGGTGGTGACCAGGTTCAGCCGTAAACTAGACTCCAGGCAGATCACCACTGATGTGTACGAGAATTTCTTCACGGACAGCGACATCGCAGAGAATCTCTTCTCTCTGAGTTCACTCTCCTTCAGGAAGGTTAGCTTCACAGCTCCTGCAGCCCAGGAGGAGAGGACAGACTTGCTTGAGCCCGTGAGGCAAAACTCCAGTCATCAGTTTCAGAAGATTGGTTTTCCTGTCAACACGCTGGGCAGCCCAGATGTGACGTTTCCCGACCCACTGCTTTACCACCTGGAGGAAAGGATCTCCAGACAGCTTGCACTGCAGCCGTGCAGATACGAGGGGTTGGAGGTGGCTGTTTCTGATCCAAGTAAGCTAAATTATTTACAAAGCACACATTAAACAAAAGGGAAACACTTATTAGGCTCTTATAGTTAGGGTGGCCACAAACCCATTTGTTGTATTTGCATAAAAGTACTCCATAAATGACTTTAGTGCATACAATGTCTACATGTCTACTAATGTCTGCATTAGTGCAGACAATGTCAACCGCAAAAACATATTTCTTAGGTGATAAGAAGTTAAATTTGCCATGTATCAAACAAGTTTATTCCTGTTTGATACATGGCAAAATAACAACAGAGAAAAGTTTTTCTTTGAAGTTTTTGGCCATAATAATCATAGTTTTTGGAGAGAAAAGCTTGTAACTTGAGAACACCATCCCAAATGTGAAGTAAGGCGGTGGCAGCATCATGAGACAGGACTGTTTTGCCGAAGGATGGGCTGGAGCATTTTGTGCAATTGAAGGGATCCTTAGGAAAGAATAATGTGTGGAAGTTTTGAAGCAGCATCTCAGTACCTTAGTCAGGAAATTGAAGTTTGCCAGCAGGGTCATCCCAATGGTGAAAGCCCCTAATCTTACGCCCAGATTAGTTGTAAAGTGGCTCATCTGAAAAAAGCATCAACTGTTTGGTTTGGACTGGCCATCTCCTAAAAAATAATAATTGTGGGTAGACCTGTAAAGTGTGTGTGAGCAAGTTGGTCTACAAACCAAACTCAGTTACACCAGTCATGACAGGCGAAACTGATTAAGAGTCCAGCAGACAGGGGGCGCAGGGGTTAAGCACAACCCACATATGGAGTCCTTTGCCCTCAAAGTGGCTGTCGCAGGGTCGATTCCCAGCCTGGCGATCTTTCCTGCATGTCTTTCCATTCTCTCATTACCCTCTTTCTTGTCAATTAACTATCAAATAAAGGCCACTAGAGCCAATAAAACCTTTAAAAATAAGTCCAGCAGACAATTGTAAACCCTTTACAAACCCTGTTGTTGTAATGTTTAGAAAACCCTAAACATTCAACGCAAGACATACAGTTTAAAAAGTAACAGTTAAATTTTTGTCTTATCTGATAATCAAACTTTTCTCCAAAATGCAGAGAGTTATTTGGTCAGTCCATGTGGACAGCTCCAAAGTTCAGTCCAGTTTGAAGGTGCTGATGTTTAGACAGGGGCTTTGTTCTTATTTAGAACAAAGCCTTAGACAATTAAAAGTATCTTAAATATGGACAATGAGAACAATGTTCAACAGCTTTAGCTTTGCGATTGGCTCAAGCCTTGATGCTTCCTGGGTCTTTCCTGAACTTCTCAGTTGTTGTTTTTCCAGCGATGAGGAACAAATTGGAACCGAAGTTTGCAACTTGGTCACAGTTGGGTTTTTCCGACAGGTCAATGACCCCTCACATGAAAACTAGCTTTCTGGAAAGAGAACAGTTTAAATAAATCATAAAAGGCCAAGAAATTAATACTCCATTATTGCCACTGAGAAGTGTTTGTAAACTTCTCACCAGGACTGTTTATGAGTGCATGCAACATAAGCCGACTCAAATTTAGTTCCGTCCTCTGGACAACACAATAGTAATTCGTCTGACCTTTTCAGTCCGTCTCTCTTTGTTTGTCTCACATGTTGGCGGTTGTGGTGTAGAAATGTCACCCACTCTACCCTAACATTTGAGACCGGGACAGATTCTCTTTCCCCAGCTGTCAGATGACACTGAGAGAACGCCGTGCTAGAGCCAAGAGGCATGGTCCTACGTGATAACTCGACTTCACTCAATGAGAGTCTCCTCTAAGCTGCCAAGAGAGCAGAGATTTATGCTTAGAGGGGAAGTTGAACTACCAGCTCTCAGAGTGTTTTTTTTTTTTAAATCTCTCATTTTCAAAATGCAGGTGCCTTTAATTTATTTTCTAATGGTTTTGAAGAAAATGATATCTTTGGCTGAAAAGTTAGTGCAGGTTTTATGAACTTCACGGCTGAAAACAATGTCCTGTCCTGGAAGTATGAGTAGTTTTCTATAAACCCACGTGGCAAAGTTGCATAAATGGAGCATTTATTTCAAATCATTCCTATTATTTCAGAGTTAGATGCCCCCTTCCTGCCTCTGAAACAGTCGGATATGTGCTTGGTGTGTATTGCGTTTGCTTCATGGGTACTGAAGACTGCTAATCCTGGAACTGGTGACGCCTGGAAGGCCGGTAGGTGGATTGCTACTGTGTGAAGCGCTCTCTCACTTAATGTAGTGAGAGAGCTTGCAAACAGTGTTTTGTAACTTAAAGCTTTTTTTTTAATTATTATTCTGACATTAAAGTGGAAAAACATACAGCTTAGGAGAGACTGTAAGGACTTTTAGTATCACTTTTAGGCTCTGTCGTAATTTCTTAAACATACAACCAGAAACTAAACTATTTTAACATAAAATCAGATTTTAAAAGCTCCACAATGAAAATTTCCAATCTCCTGTAAGTTTTGTCATGACTCTCATTTGGTTTCTCCTTTCTCTAGCCCTCCTGGCCAACATGAGTGCCCTGTCTGCCATCAGATACCTGCGTAAGTACGTCAAAGTGGAGCCTGCAACCAGTGAGACGAGGACCCGCTGTCCTGCCTTAGAGTCTTGATCTTTCTCCATCTAAACGATTTTCTATTTTCTCTAAGTCTCTTTGAGCCTTCAAAGGACATCAGTCTTTAGAAGAAACAAGAGTTTCATTGACCTCTCCAGACATTCATATTCAGCTTCAGATTGTTTTCATTTTTGTTAAACTTTTTCAATTCTTCGTCCCTTAAAACGTGAGAGCCTTCATGTGAGGTTTAAAATGACCAAAGGTAAGAAAAGAAGGTTTGAGAAATTTGTAAATAAAGACGGGAGACGAGCAGCAGGTTTTCTCTGAGCTGGACAGACTTGAGGTGACATGACAAATGAATGTGTGATGATTAAATGTGAATTTGAGGCACTTAAACATTTCAGGGGGACGACTTTTACTGGGAATTTTATGTATCAGATGCTTTTATTCCAGTATGTAAAATATTCTTATCACCAATTCCTTGTCGAGTTTGAAGAAGCAGGGTTCAATGTTACATTAAACATGGTAGAAAAGAATGTTTTATTTTAGGAACAAAAATTTGTGCCAGTATCAGTCATGCAATAAATTACTTGAAGGGCATTTTGTTCCTAGTGGATCATCTGTAAAGTCCTGAGGGATGTTTTATTGCTGTGTGTGTCACACTGAGCCGCTGGTTTATTTAACAGAAGAAGAAAAAGTTTCTCTGATCTGGGTTCTGGTTCTTGTTAAAGAAATACTCAGACATGTGGCGGCTCAAACACTCAGGGGCGACTCCTCACTTCTCAAGTCATTTCTTTTGATGAATTCAGATCGTGAAACAAACATAAGTATTAGAAATAAAAAATAACATTAGTAATTACAAAAAGCTATTTTTAAGTTATAATTTAATTAACAAATTATACAAAAGCCCTCCAACTCAGCCTGGCCTTGCATGGAAAACTTGTGATTGTTATTCTTGGCTTTTCTGTGACCTGGATGGTTGTACTCCTGAAGAAACTTCAGTCAGCTATGAAATGATTCTCACTGTGGCTCATCGTAGTAACAAAGCATTAGGAATGGCCTTGTAACACTTTCTAGACTGACCAATATCAGTGATTTATTCATTTATTTTTTATTTTTTGCCTTCTGTTCTTGTATTTCTTTAAATCAGGACATGATGTGTTTCTTTTTTTAGATGTTTTACCCTACTTCATGTTGTCAAAAAGGTTCTTGTCAAGAACAGCAGTGAAAACATGACATGTAGTCATCTTTTCACTCTGGGCCAGGTTGGATTGGGTATCCTTTGTTCCATTCTTAAATCATAATTTAAAACAGTTTTTTGTATTGTCATCACTTATCTTTGATATTAAAATTTATTTAAGAATGTAAAAGTTTGACAAAAAAAAAACTAAAATAAATCTGTAATGGAAATTTTTTTAGACTGAAATCTAGAGTTTGAAATACTAATTAACTCAATTAACTAATTTATACAGTCACACTCAGTATGCAGGAAAACATTTTTTCTCCAGTAGATGGCAAACTTGTTCCACCCGAACTTTGCTCTATTTAGTTCCAAGTGAGTTAATTTACTTTGAAAAGTTTGTAATTCAACAACCAGAATTGATTTTTTTTTTTGAAAGAAATATAATATAATCAAATCAATCCAATAAGATCCTACAGGCAAGTCTAAATTGAGTAAACTTTGACTAGCCTGAGTAAATCACAATTGAGTCGAGATCAGTTCATCGAGGAGCCAGACTGACTCCATCAAGTCAATCCCTCATTCTGAGGAAGAATGTGAACGGTCGATTGCAATTTTAATTAATAATATTTGATGCAGAAATCTATCAAGGTGAGTCATCATTTTTAGGAACGAGAAGGATCTCAAAGTTATGAATGTAAGTTATACAGAGTCAAGTGTTTTAAAAACATTAGTACAAGTCATAACATCCCTCACATAATGCTCACAAAAGCTGATTTTCTTTTTTCTTTAGAAAATTCTCTGAACTTTTATGATGAAAATGAAAAAAGTGAAATGAAAATGACTCTTAACTAAAGAGTCTGCTTTAGGCTATGATGAACAAATGCAATGTAATGAAAAGGGGAGGAAAGCATTCTTTGCACACGAAGCCCTTTGTTTGTTTTCTATACCGGCCTTTCCCAGCAGTCACCGTGTGAGAGGAATGAGACACAATGGACAGACAGTCCATTACAGAGACACACAAGACATAAAAACACAGACATACAGAAACAGAATTAGATTTTACCAAGAAAGAAACCCAGAAAACCCAGCCATACACAATAACAACATGCAATGGATGATCCCAGATGTAAAACCAGAACTAAGTTAACAAATGTGCTTATTAAGCTAACATCTGTCTTTGAAATCTGAACATATTAGAATCTGACAATATAATTAAGAATGCATTTTTTTCATAAAATATAATCTCTTTTTTTATTAATTTACATTTCAGGGTTTTTTTTTATGTTTTATGTTTAGTATTTATTTAAAAAACTGTTTCTTAGTAATTTCAAAGATCACCCTACAACTGTGCCACATCAAAAATGTTCGAAATTAAGAGACTAACTTGTGGGTAGATTTTCCACTCTTTTATTTTCAAATATTAATAATAAAAAAACACACCGAACAAAAATAGAAAAGTCACACATTTACATTGCATGAGTTTTTTTTACAATGCTAGCACCTTTAGGACAATCGGTTCACGCCATTAACAATGCGGCTTATTAAATTTGCAACATTCACAAACAAAAATAATCACATACTTTGTAACAATTCAAGCTGTAATGGAATGCTTTTGCTGATTTAATTTAGAAACAAAATGAAACAGTACACGAAAAGATAATGCAAACGAAATAGCAATAATGGAGTTAAATAATACATAAAATAATTATTATTATTATAATTATAAAGTTACATACAATGCACTGTATGTGCCCATCTTAAATGCTACATATGAACCAGACAAGTGAAATGCAATAGTGTTTTATTTTTTCTCCCACTCTCCCGGACAAAGCACTTCCTCAGATTTGTTACTCCACACTGTACACACCAGCAGACGCTCCGGCCACAACCGTTGGCTTTTATTATCCCTGTGATAGTGATCTGATGTTTGCGCACGTCCAGACGAGTGCCGGGCCTTTTGTTTTGTTTTATGACCATCTCTGCCGAGTTGCCATGGGACCAAGGCCCTGGGCCCCAAAGTCTAATCCTGTCCACTGTGTCGAAATTCCACACGCCGGCTGAATCATCCCAGTCTCACCGTCGTACTCCCAAATGTTGTCATAGTCCACTTCCTGGTCATCTGGGTCCGTGGGTTCGAGGTAAGAATGGCGATCTATAGGTGAGAGAAAATTCCTGTGTGATTAGTTCCAAACAAACTTTTTCATGATTGTACGAACTTGGACAAAGTCCCAGAGGAGGTGCGTCTTTGTCTTGATTCACACTACAGCCGCAGAGTAAATCCTGAGGTGCAGCATGCCGCAACAAACTCATTGTTACTCTTATAATAATCCAAAAACATGCGAGTTGACAAATGAAATGACATGTCAACAACCTGCCAAAGAATCTCTTTGTAATAAATTCCTCTCAGACGGTTTTGTTGCGTGCTGGCAGTCACAAAGAAAATGCAAGTCCTGTCTGAACGTTGAGCCTCTTAATCATGGGACGTCACATGAAAAGGCCTCGCTCCAGAGGCACGTTTTGCACACTTAATGCACCTTCACTTCTGTAACCTTTCAACCATTTGTCATATTGCTGACAGAAGCCAGAGCTCAGACAATCCAACCAGAGTGAATCCAGTGTTGAATTAGCCATTTAGCTGCGTCGAAGTTCCATAAATCACATTTGTCAGAGTTTCAGATTTAAAGGGTGCTAATTATTGTGCCTGTTTTTTTCAGCCAATCCTCAAACGCAGCATCCTTGTCACGATTAGAGGCACTTATTGTATGCATGTAGCGCCTTACAAAAGCATTCACACTTCTTGACTCCTTTCACCTTTTGTGCCGTTACCACAGATTTTATGTGATAGACCAGCGTTGAACCAGGTTGTTATCCCGGTTTTAAGGTCATGGCTTAGCATCCTTTAATGACGGAACAACATCAGGATGTATGAGGGTTATTTTTATAACTAAAAAACAACAACAACAAAAAATGACTTCAAAAAGTTGATTGTGTAAGTGGACAAAATGGGTAAAAGTTCAAGAGATATGAAGACTTTTGTATGAGCACAGCTGAACCCTGTAGTTAAAACAGAAAGCAATGAGTACAAAGGAGTTTTTCATAAATTCTTACCTGGTGAGTAGCCATAAGGCGCGTGAGAAACGTCCCTCACAGAGCTTGACGGGAGATGCATCTGTCAGCAGATGTGAAAATAGAAAAAAATCAACAAACAATCAGCATGTTCCAAAGCGTGCCTTTCACTTGCAGGGTCTGTTTAAATATCCCCTTCTGCACAAGTATATAAACTAGCTCTACTTCCTCATAGTGCCCTGGTATTTCTCTTTGAAGCCTAGCATTCCAGAAACTGGAGCATCCAGAAACTGGACCTGTTTCCTGCCTCACCTGCTCTTGAATGTGACTGGGCATTTGCAGGAGCTTCAGCCTCGACACGGCCTCTGCTCTCTGCTCTGCTTGGCTTTGAGGCATATCCACATCTCGGCCTGAAACCTGCGCCTGGGTGTTGGCCAGCACCAGGTTTCTCCCTGTCCGTCTGCCCATGGGGGGAGTGCGTAGCTGGAAAGACGAGGGGAGGAGAGGGGCATCCTGATGGTTGTGTTGGATTGGTTTGTTCCAGCTCTTCTGGTGAAAAAGAGAGAGAAAGAGAGAGAGAGAGACACAAAGATCAAAATATTTGAAATAAATGCATTTCTGCACCTATAACAAGGCTTCCGACAGTTTTATCTGGCTTTACATGATTTTTGTGAAACATCCTCAGAGTAAACAATTCCAGCACTAACAATGTCCTTGAGTTTGTTGGTGTGCACTGCTTGATATCAGACAGTCTGTTCAGGTGTAAACTGAAACTGAAGATACAGTATCATTGACCCACTTACCACTGGCCTGGGCTCCTCCAGGCTGAAGATCTCTGGGGTGCAAGGCTCATCGTACAGGGGAGACAAGGGCTGACGCAGGGCGCACAGGTCAGAGTGGCGTTGGCTGGCACTCAGAGAGTAGTTCAGGGATGTCTGTGGTGTGCTCCAGCTATTAGACTGATCCAAACAGAATCAAATGTGAGTCAAGGAAGCAAACATTAATGCAATTTCCTCAGGTGCAATATGTTTTTAAATAAACATTTTGGATAAGCTCAGACAAATATCTGAAGCAGAAGGGCAGTAAAAACACTTTGTTTATGAATCATAATAGATGTTAAATTATATGCATGATTAAACTGACTGAGCTTTCAAGCCCAGTCCGTATTTTTCCCATCTGTTGTTAAGCCCAGAAGATGAACCCTCCCAAGATCTTGCTACCGACCGTTTCTATTTCAGTTTATGCACACATGGCATGTAAAGTGAGCCAACAGTCTCAAAGGGAATATTTGGTTATCGAGCTCGACGCCAGACCGACTTACCTTGACCAGCGGGGCTTTCTCCAGCCGCTGAGGGCTGACCCGGTGCAGGGCGGAGTAGGGAGTGCTGTAGATCTGAGACAGCTGGGCGCTCTCCGCAGGCTGCAGGTAGGAGCCGTGCTGCGGCGAGGAGTAGCGCAGCGACAAAGGTCTCGGGTTGCGGTCGGGCCTGGTTTGGGAGGACACGCTGTTGGTCCTGCTGCCCAGTCGGGCCGTCTCGATTGAGGAGGGGCGACTGGGGCTGTACTGTAGGGAGCAAGTCACATTCTGTTTTTAGTTAACAAAGTCATTTGAGAGCTAGAGAAAAAAACATCTCCATCAAATTAATTGGAAGAGTGGTGGTTAAGGTCAAAAGTTTAGCAGCAACATTAGTTCTGGGCACTCGGCCCTCTTTTAAAGCTAATTGGACTGGCAGGGAGGATGCAAACTCCACGTCTGGGGGAGTTTGGTCAGAGGTCCTGATAATGCAGAGAGCCTCTGGACTTCAAAAGAAGACAGACATTTACAATCAAACTTTTTCTGCCGAGTCAGAACTTTGAGAAGTGCATCTGAAGGTGATTTTGTTGTTTTGTTTTCCGTGTTTTGGCTCACCACCTGAACAGCAGTAAGAGGAGTACCTTGGGCTCAGCCCATGCTTAATCATTTATTTGAAGAAAAGTGTCGCTCAGTTCTCCGAAATGCGTGCCAG